AGGAGGTGTTTCCTCCCTTGACCGTGGCCACCTCGTGCCTGCCCCCCCGTGCGCCGGCCGCGCCCGGAGATTCGGTTCCCGAGGCGGCGCCAAAAGAAGGCAACTCCTCTACACATCCTTTCCTTGCAAGTGCTGCATTTCTGCGTCCGGCGCCCGGGAGACCTCCTCTGGCCCGGCGTTGCCAGGCCTGCGCGCAGTGTGGGCGCCTCGTGGCCGCCACCCGTGCGCTGGCCGGCGGCCCCTGGGCCGTCGCGCCTCGTGGCCGCCTCGTGGCCGCCTCGTGGCCGCCCCGTGGCCGCTGGCCAGCGCCTCGTGGCCGCCCCGTGGCCGCCCCGTCCGTCGGCCGCCGCCTCGTGGCCGCCTCGTTGTGCGCCCCGTGGCCGCGTCGTCGTGCCCCGGCCGGCGTGCCCGGGTGGTCGCGCGCGGTGGGCGCCCGTGGCCGCCCGCGAGCCCCCCTCGCGGCCGCCGCGCGCGGGGGGGCCGGCATATAGGGCCAAGCTCTCGCGCGTGGGGCCCCCTTTGGCGGCCTCGCGGCCGCCGGAATGCACTGGCTCGCGCTTCGGCGCTCTTTTGCTCCAGCCTCGGGAGGGTCTTCTGCTGACGCCAGGCCGCGGGCCGACGCTGGCTGGCAGCCGGCCGCTTGTCTTCGAGGGCGAGACGACGTGGGCTCGCACGACGTAGCTTGTATCACACAGCTTGTACCGCATGGTTTGCACAACATAGCTTGCACCGCATCGCTTCCACCACGTGGTCTGCACCACATGCCTGGCACTACGCAACTTGCATACCATGGCTTGGGCCGCATACATACACGCCCAGGCCGAATGTTTTTCCTCTCGTATAAAATCGATGGGTCCAACTGGATCCCATATGGGGTCCTTTAATTCGAATTTAATGGGGATTGGGGGTGGCTGGAACGCAACAGCATGCATGTGATTGAGGCGCGGCAACATGCAAACATCTCCCGAACATTCCGCGGATTTTGGTGTCGTGTTCAGAGCAATACTCCCAAGGCTGAGCAACCTCGGGAGATTACCCCCCAGACGCGCAACCACGGGCCGAGGCCGGCTTACAGCCAGCCTCTCTTTGTCGAGGGAGAGGCAATGTGGGTTAGCACCACATGCTTTGGAACACGTGCTTCCCGCCGCATGCTTTGCACCACGTAGCCAGCAGCGCATAGTCATTCCACTACGTAGTTTTCACCGCATAACAGGCGCCATTGAGCTTGCATCACGTAGCTTGCACCACATACATGCCGCGGCCGAATGTTTTCCTTTTGCATTGAGAAATCATGGGTCCAACTTGATCCAATTACGTGTGTGCGAGTCGCGTGGGTCCACTTTTCCATCGTGTGGATCCTACGATGTTGGCGTGAAACCTCGTGGATCCAATTCTTCCACGGTATATATATATGAGATGATATACTATGATATGACTATGATATGCATATATATATACACATTATGCTGGAATGTTGGGTCCCTCCGGCCTCCCTGACACACAATGACACATGCCCCCCCCAGTTCTCGAATTCAGCTCCCGGGGTCCTGGTCACGTTCTCAGTCCTACTGGAAACTTTTCCACCCTCGAGAGCGCTCCAAGAGCGCCCACCATGGACCCCAGGCGATTCAAGAATCCACCAAGACGATTGGAGAGCGCCCTGAGAACGCTTCACGTCCGTTCCGTCTTAATTGCAAACGACCATACGGAGACCGTGTTGAATTGCCCAGAAGCTGCCAACTTTTGACGTCGACGATGCAGAATGCATGACAAGAGTGGAACGCCGCTCACCTCGCGTATGAGCGGGCGAACTGGAATACTCGCCTGAGTGCCGTGCATATAGCTTCTGACAGTTGCGCAGCCACATGGGCACATAACGAAATTTGTTTCTAGGAGATCCGTCGGGCAGCGCGCGAGCGGGCGAACTGTCGCTTGGCCTGACCGCAGCGAGTTTTCCGCCTAAGGCTGGGGTCGCAAAGGTTGGAGCTTGTTCTATGCGAAGCAACATTTATATATCCCCAACGCTTCAATACCAACTTGATCCATTGATATGCCCAATGTCCCGTTCCTGGTTGTTTGTTTTTCTTTGCCGTCCAGCAGAAACATGAGCCCACAGCAACAGCTCACACGTGATCATCTATGCCCCCCCCCACCTCCCCGCCCCCCCCTCTCTAGCCCCCCTCCCCCCCAAAATCACCACATCGCGGAGGTGGATGTGCGCGGCAGCGTAACTGGATAGAAAACCTTCGACTCGCCTGTCGTTGCCTTGGGGATGAGGTTAGTGTCCAGCACAGCGAGGATCTTGTTGCAGATGTCATCGAGTTCGCCTTCCACCTTTTTGCAGTACTCCTTCGCGAACTTAGCGTTTTCCTCGTTGCCCTTGCTGGTCTCCTTCTGCTCCACGCTGGTGATGATGCGCCACGCAGCGCGGCGCGAGCCCACGGCGTTCTTGTAAGCCACGGACAAGAGATTGCGTTCTTCAACTGCAAGCTCATCCCCCGACTTCCCCACTGCCTCCATGTGAGTCGCCATCTCGTCGTAGCGCTCCGCCTGCTCCGCAAGCTTCGCGAAGTAGACCTCCTTCTCGCGGTTCACCGCCATGTCTGCAACCGGCGCTGCTTCGCGAGGCGGACCCGCGATCGATGCGATACCTGCCCTGATCGGAAGGCTTTTGGCCCTGAGCCAGAACTGATGATGACGATGCTAAGGATAAAGATGAGGATGATGATGATGCTGACGATGATGATGCTGATACTGATGATGACGGTGATGACGATGATGATGATGATGATGATGATGATGATGATGGTGATGATGATGATGATGATTATGACGATGATGCTGATGCTGCTGATGATGCTGCTGATTATGATGATGATGACGGCGTTGGTGATGATGATGATGATGATGATGATGATGATGATGATGACAATGATGTAGATGATGATGCTGATGATGCTGATGATGCTGCTGCCGATGATGTGATGAGGAGGATGATGTGAAGATGATGCTGATGATGATGCTGCTGATGATGATGATGGTGATGATGATGCTGCTGCTGCTGATGATGATGATGATGATGATGATGGTGATGATGATGATGATGATGATGATGATGATGATGATGATGATGATGATGGCGATGCTCCAACGTGACGACGCAATTCATCCCGTCCTATGTTTTCTTCCCTACCTAGGCTCTGCCTAGAAGGGTTCTTACTATCTTAGCTTAAAGGGGCTGGGCAATGGAAATCGCCCCGGGCGGTTCCCCCAGTCCCCGCCCCGGGGTTCCCCCCAGTCCCCTGGGAGCTTTAGCTTTAGCTTTAGCTTAGCTGTAGCTTAGCTTTAGCTTAGCTCTTGCTCAACTTTAGCTTAGCTTTAGCTTATCTGTGGCCTAGCTTTAGCTTAGCGTTACTGTTACTACTAATGCTGCTTTCCTAGGGGTTCCAACTCCTAGATAGGGTCGCACTGGGATAATATATGCCCTCCAAGATTGCTCCAAAGGGGCCCAACATGCCGCCAAGTGGGCCCCAAGAGAGCCCCAACGGTCTCCAAGATGGCGCCACGAAGGCCTAAACATTGCCCACATCCGCCGTCCGTGTCGGCGTTTGAACACATTTCTTCATTAGACGCTTTCCACCGTCCTTGTGGCCACCCCGCTTTGACCCTTTCACTGCTTCGCGGGGGGTCCCAGGGCGGGGTCCTGTGGGGAGTCCCAGGGGGGATCTATGGGGGGATGCGCTCCCCTGCCAAGCCTCCGTTTCTTCGACTTCTTCGGGCCCCCGGGCTCGCCAACCCGAGGTGAATGGGCTCTCCAAGCTCGCCAATACGAGGTGAGTCGACCAACGTCGCAATCGAGTCGGATGGAAGCTACTTCTCCTCGATCCCTTCCCCGCAGAGGGGGGAGCGCCCAAATTTTTGAGAGTGGTCGCGGGGGGGGGGTCCAAGGAGTACGTGTGCATTCCCCCGCCCACTGCTTCTCCTCCTCCTCCTCCTCCACCTCCTCCTCCTCCTCCTCCTCCCACTGTCCGTGTCTCGTCCGACGTGTTGCGTCCTTGCGGGTCTCCTTTCATGGTAGGCGGAACTGCTCGTAAAATCTTTACGATCGATTTCCAAAAGGCCCCCATGCCGAAAGATCCGTCAAGGCATTTATGGTTGACTCCTGGGTCTGCTCAGGCTGATCCCGAGCTTCGGTCTGTCGGTTGCCCTCCCTCTGTGTTCCACCCGCTTGCTCCTACAATTCCATGGTCAAGGCAACTCGCATGTTTATCGTTCCTGGATGGGCTGGCGGAGACACACGAAAAATCAAGTGCTAACGAAGGTCACGTTGGAACTTCTGTGGGCCATGTCGAGGAAAACCGTCACCGCAAGCTCTCCGTTATTTCACCTGCAGCTGCCGCACCAGAGCTCGCCCCCTCAGGGCCCAGCCAGAGCATTAGCACCACCGCTCTGATGCCTTCCTTCTGTGTTTAGGCGCTGGGAGTTCCCACATCCCACTGCAGCCACCGCAGGCGGTTGGAGGAGGGCGATGACGAGGAGGTGGCAGGGGGGTATGAAGGCGTGGCGAAAGAGGCCCAGGAAGACACAGATAAATCGACACACATTCCAGGATTCCCCATCTTTTTCTGATCTTTCCTGGAATTTCGTCTTCGCCTCCATTTCCAGTATTATCCCATCTTTTCATGCAAATCAAAGTTTTGTTTTGTGTGTATGTGTGTGTGTGTGTGTCTGTCTAACTTTCCCTCCTGAGTGGTGAAGAAGATATAGCGAGACATCCCTCTCCTGGCGAGGGGCCCCGCCAGTCTCCAGAGGATCCCGAAGAGCTCCAGAGGACCCCGGGAGCCCCTGGAGGCCTCGCAGAAGCCTCTGGAGGGCGGGCAAGCGTGCAGAAAACTCGGTCCTCCGCAGAGCCTCCCACTCTGCCCGAGGGTCCTTCGAGGAACACCAAGCCCGAAACGCTGCCCTTTCCTGCTCCCCCCTTCGCCCAGATCCCCCTATGCCTATCCCCCCTTCTCGTTGCCCCTGACTTCGAGGTTCCCAGGGGCGCCCTCTGCCCGGCGCTGCGGAGGGCGGCCGGGCCTCGCCTTCCTGCGCCAGGGGCGCGGCGGCCGCGGCGACTTCCGCGGGCGGCGGGGGCGCCGCGGGGGGCTCCTGGGGCCCGCCCCGCGGCCAGGGAGGGGTCTCGGCCAGGCCGCGCTCGCGCAGGCCAAGCCTGGTGAGGGCCGCCCGGCTCCGAACCCGGTTGGCGAAGGAGGAGAAGGAGGAGGAGGAGGAGGAGGAGGAGGAGGAGGAGGAGGAGGGGGGGGAGGAAGAGGACGACGACCACGACCACGACCACGACGACGACGACGACGACGACGACGACGACGATGACGACGACGACGACGACGTGGAGGAGGATCAGGCGGAGGGAGAAGGAGGACGACGACCACGACCACGACCACGACCACGACGACGACCACGACCATGACCACGACGACGACGACGACGGCCACGACCACGACGATGACGACGGGCCGCGTGCACCAGGGAGCTGCCCCGAGCAAAACAGACCAGAACGCAGCTGGAGTCTATGTAATGGAAGCGAGGGGGAACCATACGCTCAAACAACATATCGACTCACGATAATTGCCGAGCGGCTGCGGGGGACATCTCACCCCGTCCCCTCCCACCTCCTTCTGCCAGTCGCCCCTCCGCCCCCACTCTCTCTCCCCTCCCACCTCTGCCTCGCCCCTCCCCACCCCTCGTTGTCCACCTCAACGACTCGCCCACACACCCGCGCCCCCTGGCCAATACCTGTCTCACCTGCCCCGTCTTCCTGTGTCTCATTGTGAATTCCGTTCGTCGGTCATGCGCCTTGCCAGTTGCGCCTTTGCTGTGGTGAGATTAGAAGTGCATGGTGCAACCGAAACGGTACCTTGAGTGAGCTCAGGAGAAGTGACGGGCAACGGCGACGAGGGTATTCTCCTCATCTTCCCATTTCTTCCAATCCTTCTCTTAGCCTTCACCTCACTAGTCCGCCAGATCGTGTCCACAGCTCGTTCTCCAACTCTCTCTCTCTCTCTCGCTCGCTCTCTCTCCTCTCACTTCCTATCCTCACTTTCTCCTCTCTCCTTCCATCCTCGTTGCCCTCATTCCCTCCCTCCGTCCAAGGTTAGCCTGGGGACCGAAGAACAGACAATTCAAGACTTTTTCCATTGCTTCCAAATTCCCTCCTGGGGCAGAATGTGGAGTTCAAGAACACGTGGGCACGTTCCCACTCCCCACCCGCCGCGAAACGCTTGCTCCCCAGTTGAAGGGCGTGCTCCCCGTCCAACGGGGGTCACACATGACATTTTGCTTAGTGCCGCGCAGTCGGGAAATTTAGCCCAACATGAAACGGCTCCACGGCCGCCTCGTTGTCACCACACGCGGGGGTAGTGTAGTGTAGATGAGAGCAAGTCAGGGTATAGTGTAATGTAATGTATTTCTAACACGCAGAGGGAAACCAATGGCGTACATGACGTCGTGCCAAATTCAAAAGCAGCATGACTGAACATATGTGGGTAAAGTCAAATGGAACGCCGCAGTGCGGAGAGGGACAGGAGCGGCAAACAAACAGCGGGTGGTGGTGGCGCCAAAATGGGCGACTCGAGCGTTTGCCCCCCCGCGTCGCATCATCAAGGCGTGTTCGGTCGCGCGCGGCGTCTCCTCCGACGCCTCGGCGAAGGAGCAATCCGCGCTGTGCCCCAATTAGAACGCAGCAGTCGAACATTATCTGCCCTTTTGTTTTAACTCGAGAAGACATGTGAGAACTGTAGATGCACATGCCGCCTGTGTATAGTTGCGCGTATGCATTTGCTTGCGGCATGTCCAGCCGCCATGCCAGCGCAACGCTCATTGCGGCGACGCTTCGGGCGCCAACCAGAAGGCCGTGACATGTGACACCTCTCGTCTCTATTTCTTGAAGGGCTTTCATGGGAGCTAGCTGGGTCGTCCCAGGGCTGTCTTGGGCTCCTATGGAGCCCTCTTGCGTCGTCCTTGGGCTTTCTTGGACGTTCTTTCTTGGAATCGCTTGGGGCCATCTCGGGGCTCCGTTGGGCTGTCCTGGGCCCCTCTTGGGACGTCTCGGGGCCCTCTTGGAACTGTCCTGGGCCGTCTGGGAGGCCAGGCCTCGGGAAGCATTGTTTCGGCTCCTGTGGCCCCTCTTTCACTCCTCCGAAATACTTTGCCAATGTGCAACAAAAACGGGCATGCGGTTTTTGACAGGCTTTGGCCTTTTTAAGAAAGCCTCCTGGCCTTCTTCAGGTGTGCTGGAAGCCTTTTGAGATCTCATTGGCGCCTCATGAGGTCTTCTTGGGAGCTGATGGATGCCTGTTGGGCCATGTTGGCGGCCTTGGTGGCATTCCTGGACTGTCATGAGAGCGCCGGGTCGGCCAGCCTGGAAGAGCCCCGTGAAAGCTCGGGGGCCGCCCAGGGAGCCGAGAAGGAGGAGGAGGAGAAAGCAGTGCGCTGGCGGGGCCGGCCTGCGGGGCGGCGGCCGCGGCCGCCGAGTCGGAACCGAAGGCCCTCACCGATGACCCTCCCCGAATGCTCCTCCTCCTCCTCCTCCTCCTCCTCCTCCTCCTCCTCCTCCTCCTCCTCCTCCTCCTCCCCCTCCTCGGCAAGGGCGCCCGCGCCCGCGCCTGCGTGCCCTCTGCCGCCGGCCCACCGCCGCCGCCGTCCCCGCTGGTGGGGGCGAGCGCCGGCGCAGCGGTCTCCGAGGCCTGGGCCTGCGCGAGCGCGGCCCGGACGGGCAGAGAGCTGCGCGCGCAGATGCGCTGCGATCGGCGGGGCGCCGCGCGGGAGCCGCGCCGCCAGGGAGAGCCCGCAGCGTGCGGGGCGAGGGGCGGGGACGAAGGGGCGAGGAGGGAGGGCGAAGGGAGGAGCGCACGGGAGGGCCGACGCGAGCCGCCAAGGGAGCCCTCCTCGGGCTCGCAGGGCCCGGGGGGGGGGCCCGGGCGCCCAGGCAGCCGTGGAGGCCACCCCGACGGGGAGAAGGCAAGCAACGTGGATCGGAGCTGTGCATGTGCCCCTCTTGACCCCGTGGCTCGGCCATGTACGCATCTGCGCCGATCGTGGATCCAGGATGGGGCCTGGCCAGGGTCGGTCCGTTGTGCACTGCGCATAGTTAGCTCTCGCCTGTGCATGTGTGCTGCGCATTGCTCTCTGCGCACGCGCAGGGGCCCAGGCAACTTCTTGACTGCCAGCAGGGGACCGCTCCCGGGCAGGGAGTGGACGTCAGGCCGCTCTGCTCTGCTCTGCTCTGCTCCAGATCGCGCCTGCCGAGCGGAGGGGCCACGCCCAAAGCCTTGGGGCCGAGCGGGGCGTCAAGATCTAGCCGGACGCCCGCGCTGTCCTTCCGGCCGGTTCCTCTCTCTGGGCCCCAGCGCGCTGGGGGAAGCGATCGACTTTTCTGCGTGGCGCTCCAAAGCTTTGGGATCGCATTCGCTTGTCGGCGACGCGCCGAGGGGGCGAGTGAGAGGAGGCAAGCGTTCCCCCAAAAACGGCGGGGCCGCGGAGCAGCCCTCCGGCCTGCGGAGAAGGCTCAGACGACTTCTCAGAGGGCCGGAGGCCTTCTGAGCCGTCCGAGGAGGCACGCCCCGACCCACTCCCCCGCGCGGCGCGCCGCCGAGCTGGATTTTGCCTGGCAAAGTGGAGTGGAAGGCGAGCCCGAAGGTAGCCGCGGAGGCCAAAAAGGGCCGCGCGGGCGACACTCCAGGCGGCGCCGCCGGGGCCGCACGGTCGGCCCCAGGGGGGCGATCCCCGACCCCCGACGTCGTGCTTTTCAGCCCCATCCTGTGGTGTTGGGTCCTCGCTTTGAAGAGACAGCGCCCCGCGTCTGCCCCCCTCCCTCCTCCCATCCTTGCCTCTGCCCTCAGCATGTGCTCACCCCTCACACGCTTCGCGGCCCCAATAGGGAGCCCCCCACCGAAGGTCCCACCGGCAAAATTCGCATGCGTCTCCCCCACCCAGTACACCGCTTCGTGGCCCCATAGGGAGCTACAACGTTTCGTGGCCCATAGGGCGCTCCACCGGAAGCCCCAGTAACAAAACTCGCATGTGTCGCCCCCGCCCAGTATAACGTTTCGTGTCACATAAGAAGCTCCACCGAAGGCCCCAGTGGCAAAGTGCACATGCGTCTGCCCCACCCAGTACAGCGTTTCGTGGTACATAGGGAGCTCCACGGAAGGCTCCACTGGCAAAGCTTGCATGCGTCTCCTCCCCCACTACAACATGTCGTGGCCCATGGGGAGCTCCACAAAAGGTTCCAGTGGCAAAGTTCGCATGCGTCCCCCCCGCCCAATACAGTATAGCGTTTCGTGGTCCATAGGGAGCTCCACCGAAGGCCACAGTGGCAAAGTTCGCATGCGCTTCCCGCGCCCAGTACCGCGTTTCGTGGCCCATAGGGAGCTCCACCGAAGGCCCCAGTGGCAGGGTTCACATGCGTCTCTCCCGCCCACCACAGCGTTTCGTGGCTCATAGGGAGCTTCACCGAAAGCCCCAATGACAGGCGTTCAAAAGCGTCTCCCCCGCCCAGTACAGCGTTTTGTAGCCCATACGGGGCTCCACCGAAAGCCCCAGTGGCAAGGTCCACATGCGTCTCGCTGCCCCATGTCGGCAAACTCCTCAAACATTTCGTGCCACCGTGAGGAGCTCCACCGAAGGAGGCACCAATGGGAGGGTCCACATGCGTTTCCATGCCCCATGTCGGCACCCCACCCCCATGATGGCACACCCCTCACGCGTTTCGTGACCCACAGCACACATAGCGGGTTCCACCGACAACGGTAACCACACCGCGGTAATCACAACTGCATATGGCTGGGTCCGGCGCCAAGATAATTTCACGACGTGGACCCCCAGCGGTGGGAACTCCTTCTCGGGGTCCATCGTTTCATATCCCGAGTCGTCCTTCGGCGGTCCCGACGCCAATAATTGTGAATCCCTCCCACCCGTAGTTGGATCCGCGGGCCCAAGAGCGGAGGGGGATCGAAAGGCGTGACTCACCATACGGTGTGGTCATCGCACTTTTCCGCCGAGAACCGCCGGAAACGTCCCGAACCCTAGAAACTCTTTCGCGCCCCCTGAGCCAATCCCGAATCTTCACTGACTCACCACACCGCGTGCACCGCACCGTTGCCCCCCCATGTCGAGCCGATTCAGTATGGCCGAACGAATCGCATAACTTCGCTGGCGATGAACCGTTCCAATGTCTGACCTATCAACTTCCGACGGTCGGATTTTTATCTACCGTCTACCCTGGCAATGACGGGCAACGGAGAATTAGGCTTCGATTCCGGAGATGGAGCCTGAGGGACGGCTACCACATCATACCACATCTACAGAAGGCGTTCGACGGCCCTGGGGCCCGGCAATGAGCCCCCCAAAAGAAGTTTCTCCGCAGCGAACAAAGCAAGCCTGGGACCCCGTGGGCGGTGCAGACCGCGCCGCGCCGAGGGGGAACGGCACGGGGGAGACCGGCTCGAGGCGAACAAAAGCTGGCTGGGGACCGGCGAGGCCTCGCCGATGCAACGGCGATATCCTCAGCCCCCGATGGCAACTCCGCGCGCTCCTGGGTGGGGTGGGCGCTTCCAGGCCCCTGTCGGCGACGAGTGGGCGGTGGTCGGCGGCGAGCGCGAGGGGGGGAAGTGAAGAAAGGAGAAGGCCTTCTCAGAAGGCTCGGAAGTCCTCTGGCCTCCCGAGAAGTCTCCTCAGCGCCTTCCCCGAAGACACAAAACACTTCTTAGAAGGCGCGAGGGATTCTGCGAAGTCCCGCCGCCTTCTGAGAAGGCCGTGTCCTCCTCACTTCCCCCCCCTCGCTCGCCGCCGAATTTGGTTTTCGGGTCATAGCTCGGGTCCCCAGCGGCCGTTGGGGACGATCCGGGCACCCTGGGCACGTCCCCGGCGAGGCGCAGCTGCTGGAAAGCATCCCGAGGCCAGAAGACCACCGAGAACTGACGAAAACGTCCGACAAAACCTCGAACCTCGAACCCGAAACTTCCCCCCCTTGCTCGCCGCCGAGATCGGGGGTCGATGCCCCCCCCCCCACTCAGACGCTCCCTGGCCCTCGGGCCACAGCTCAGCACCTCCTCGGGCGGCGGTGTGGGGGACGACCGGGGCATGCCTCCCCCCAGCACGCCCTCGACGAGGCGCCGCTGCTAGAGAGCACCCCCACGAGGCGGAGGACCGCCGAGAACCCGCGAAAGCGCCAGAAGAAGCTTCCCCCTCCAGCCCCTCCTCCTCCAACCGCTGCCCCTGACATCGAGGCGCAGCTGCTGGAGAGCAACTCGAGAGGCGGAGGGCCGCCGAGAACCTACGAAAACGCCAGAAGAACCTTCCCCCGCCAGCCACTCCTCTGACGCTGGGGCCGACCGTCCCGGCATTCCTAGAGGCCTATCACGACATGTTCTTAGAACCCAGAAATGTTCTAAGAACAAGAACAATGTTCTTAGAACAATTGAACCCGGCGTGTGAAAACAACACAATCTCGGCCAGACATGTTCCAAGACCATTTCGCAGAGACCGCAAGAAACTCTTAGAACTTTCTCTTTGGTGGGCCGATAAGCAAGCCAGGACGCTTCGCCACTGCTCGAAGCCTCTCCTCCCCCAACCGCTGCCCCTGACGTGCCTGCTCTTTCGCTGCCGCCGGCTCCCCCGGCGCAGCTCCCCCGGCCAGCGGCACGGGCGGGGGGGCTGGCTGATGGGTGGTGCCGTGCGCCTCGGCGGGGGCGGCCTCGGGCCACGCGATGGTGACCTCTGGGGCGGCCTCGTCGTCGTCGTCGTCGTCGTCGTCGTCGTCGTCGTCGTCGTCGTCGTCGTCGTCGTCGTCGTCGCGGCGGTCGTCATCGTCCTCCTTCCTCCCTCCTCGCTCTTCCTCCCTCCTCCTCCTCCTCCTTCTCCTCCTTCTCCTCCTCCTGCTCCTCCTCCTCCTCCGCCTCCTCCTCGTCTTCCTCCGCCTCCTTTCCTCCGCTTCCTCGTCCTCTCCTACAACTCTTTCTCTCCCTGCCTCCTCCTTCCTCCTCCCTCTCCTATCCTCCTCCTCCTCCTCCTCCGTCCTCCTCCTCCCCCTCCTTCTCCTCCTCCTCCTCCTCTTCTTCTTCCTCTCTTACTCCTCCCAACTCCTCCCTGCCTTCTTCTCTAGGATGAACCTACTGGCTTGCTCTGGGCGCACATGGCGCTGCCAGCGGTGTTGGCAAGAAACGCACCTCGACCATACTCATACTGATGCTACCTCTCCTCGGGTTATGAAGAATGTTGGGTTTCTCGTTTGTTTGTGTAGTTTGTCTTTTTCTTTAAGGGGGTGGTGCATGGGGGCATGCGTGCAACTTTCGGTTTGCAATTGGCGTCGGTTCGGCATCGAAATATACCTACCTTGTGATCTCGCTATCTATCGATCGTACGCTCTATCGGTGCCACGTTCTACCGATCGGTGCCACTACCAACACCTAAATCGACGCCTACGTCTGTCAACGCTGATAGTATACATACATATACATATGTGTGCAGGTGTAACTTCTTTTATGCCGATCGGCCTATGTGTATGTTTATGTGCACGTCTATGTACATGTACATGTGCATGTATGTGTCCACGTACCTGTATCTGTTACGCATTCACATATGTGTGTCTGTGTGTCTGCGTGTATGTATGTATGTATGTATGTATGTATGTATGTATGCATGTATGCTTGTATGCATGTATGCATTTATGCATGCATGTATGTATGTATGTATGTATGTATGTATATATATATATATATATATACATAGATATGTGCTGCCGCGTCGTTTGTTCTGAGCGGGCCCACGCAGACAGAGGAGCTGTGCGCCGCGCCTGCTGGCGCGGCGCGGCGTGATGCTCTGGGTGCGCGACGCGGGCAAGGCTGCGAAGGCCACAGGGGGCACCCTGCACGGGTCATGGGAGATCGAGTCTTATGGGTAGAGGCCTCCTACATGGGGTCCGAGTAGATGGGGTCGGAGGATCTCGCCGCATCGCCGATACATCGGCGATGCATCGCCGATGCATCGGCCATGCTCTGGCGACGTCATCCATGTATCGGCGACGTCGGCGTAGAGAAAATTGGGCCCCACATCGAGCCGCATCGCCGATGCATCGCCGATGCATCGGCGATGCGATGCGATCCCCCGACCCCATATACTCCGACCCAATCCAGGAGGCCTAGAGGGGAGGACGAGTCTTATGGCCCGCCGAGAGCTTAAAAGGGGGCAACATTACTAGAATAAGAAAAAACGGCATAAACATAAGCTTATGGCGCCCCGCGCGGACTTCTTGGATCCGCGCCGGACCTGTGCCTCCCTGGCGCGCGGAGCGCGCCAGGGGCGGCGCTGGAGGCGCCACAAGGGGGGCCCCAGCCCGGATCCAAGGAACCCGCGCGGAGCGCCAAAAATTCATGGTTTTCAGCCGTTCCTTTTTTTGTTTCTATTCTTTCTTCTTCTTCGAATTCAAGACCTCTCTCGGTTACCCATCGCGACCTCAGCCGCGGCAGACCCCGCGCCCCGGGGCAAACCGCACCCGAGGCCCACAGGCGGCCCACGGAGCCAGGTGGGGCTGGGAGGGTCACGGGAAGGGCGAGGGGGCGACGACGACGGCGACGACGACGGCAACCACGACGACGTCGTCGACGACGCTCACAACGACGACGGCGTATCAGCCTACGACGGCGAGGACGACGGCGGCGGCGGCGACGGTTGCGGCGGCGGCGACAACGCTTGCGACGATGGAGCCGGACAGGGTTGGGAACCATCGGGGCCGACAGCGAGAAAAGAGGATGGAGCACGAGGAAAGGAAGTGACGTGTCAAGAGGGGTGGGTTGGGAAGACCGCGGGGGGGAATTGGGGACCCTGCGCTTGGGCGCTGGCCCTCAAGGAGGCCTCTTTGGCCGGATAAGGCGCTGGGGCTGGGACAGGAAATGTCTGGCCAGCTGTGGGGAAGACGCGAAGCGCCACACGTGATGTTTGGCAAGAGCCTCCCGACTATCACAGGAATAGACAGTGAGAGGAGCCAGAAAATTGCTGAGCTAAAGCGCGAGTGGAGAGGGTTGGGAAGGTCACGAGGAGGGTGCGCGAACTATCATATCCGAAACTGACAGGGGAAGGACAACGAGGAAAATAATTGAGATGTGGAGAGGGGTGGGTTGGGACTCTCCGCTTGGTCTCGTCCTGTCCCACTCGTGGGGCCTGCCCTCTTGGGGCTTTTGGGTCGTTGGGTGGCCTCTTGGGCCGATTGGGGCGCTCTCGTGCTGCCGTGGCGCGTGTGAGGGTGGTTTGAGATGTATACATGCGGTAACCGTCTGGCGGGGTGGAGGGGCCGCTGTGGGAAGGGCGGAGGCTGGTTGGAGCCGTCCTTGGCCGTCGTGAGGGCCATCTCGTTGCGATGAAAGGATAGAGCGAAGAGCGGTGCAGGGAGTCACCGAGGGAGCGATGCCAGCGGAAACGAGGGAGCATGTGGGTGACCACACGGGCGTCTTGGAAACTGAGGAGGCCTTCTTGGCCTGAGGGACCCTCTTTTTTGCATCAGTTCACCCCACACGGCAGGTTTACGAGGACCAGCTGGCAACGAAAAAACAGTACCGCTGATTCGTATTATCGAAGATTCTTACGGCGATGGTTTCGCTGCCAGTGCTGACTTCTGAGCACTGTCCATGCTACTGCCTGTGGAGGCGCCACTGGAAGCGTACTCCGATGTGAACAAAAAACCTCGGCAAGGATGCACAGAGCGCCGCAAATGATCAGGGCGCAAGGGCGCACAGGAGGCACCAAGGAGCTCAACGAGCAGTGCGGAAGGATGGAACGTGCGGTCCAGAGCAGGAGCGCGGACAAAGTTCCTGGCCTCTATTGCGGGGGAAGGGTGCGGCGCCGAGCGCGACAAACACAGAAGCCTGGGGCGCTACCCGTGCGGGGCGCTTCTACGGGCACGTGCCGGACGGCGCTGTGCGCAGCGGTTATGGGCGGCATTGGCAAACGGGCATGGGCACATGGGCATGGGCAAGGTTGGTATCAGCCAGCACCCCCCCTCCCCCCTCCTCTCCCTCACTCCCCCCAACTTGTGGTGGCCTCTCACGCAGACGTAGCGGGGACAAGCGTATGTTTGGGCGTGGACTCGGGTGGTCGCCAACGCCAGAACGGGCGTGGGCACGGGAAACGTTGTGGCTGATGCTGCCGTTCGCACAAACATGCTCACAGGCAGCACCATGGGTGTTGTCGTGGATGGGGGCTTGGTTGGTTGTGATGAATTCTGTACATCAGTGCAGGCGTCGCCAGTGCTGTCATGCAGACACGCGCGGGCAACACCAACGGGCCATGTCAGCCCCTCCACTGAGACTGGCCGAAAGGACCAGGATACGAAGCTGATGCTCTTAATTGGTGCATATGCAGCCTTTCGCGCGAACGACTCCAAGAGCGTATGTGCCCCTTTATGATACACTCCACAGTGGGTCACACCAAGCTGGCCCAGTGTGCAAAAGCAAGCGAGCATCTAACGCCGATACGCGCGCGCTCGCAATGCGTTTGCAGACCATCTGTGCCAGAGAGGGGAACACAATGTAGAAACTCATCGTTCGCGCGTCGGGCCGAGGCAAGGGCGACACACTCTGAGTCAGCCGAATGAGCTGCTGAAATGATGCCCGCCATTTTTAATGGTGGAAACAAGCTGCACCCAATCGTACGCACAACATGACTAATGAAATATGAGCAATTAGCGTCACGCGCAGCTGACCCAGAGCGTTTCAGGAGCTTCCAAGTCCAATCTCCATTCTGAAGGCTCGGACTCGTCATCTATCTCGCGATCCAGGCTGCAGCTGGAAAATGCGATGCACGCTCTGTTGCCAAGGCCGTTCACATAGCCCTGGTCGCGGAGTCGCTCAATTGCCTTGACTCGCATGTAGTGGCCTGGCAGGAAAACACTTGCTGGGTTCTCCCACATCGCCTCGCGCGTCACTGCGTTGAGATAATACTTGTTACCATCCTCCATCTTCACGGTGCGCCACTTGCCGTACTCCTCCACTGCTTCAGCATCCCACTTTTGGTGGATTCCACTGAGCATTGCATCACGGTCTTGTTGTGATAGAGGAGCGCATCTATGGAACAGGTCCGCCAACGACTTCATTATATCCTCCAACGGGTGCCTCCATGTCGACTCCCCCGTGCGCTCGTTGACGAACACACGCTGGCCAGACTCGTTTGTATCAATGATCCAAGGTGACGGCAAAGGCGTGTTCTGGAGAGCATCAGCTACGAAATTGATAACAGCCTCGTCGTAAACGTGATCGACGATACCAGATGCCGCAACATACGGAGCCCAATCCGAGGCGGACGTCACGGGGATTTCGGCCGACGCCCTGGCACCCATTGCGGAGATCGAAACGCGACCCCGCTTTGTGGAGGCCTGCGCAGCCGATGCTGCCAACCAGACGTGGCAAAATGCCACGATCGTCGCCTGGTCGACCTGAGCCTAAATGGTTTAAGCCAACATGGGTGCGGATTGGCCTGATGTGGCCCTCTTGGGATGCGTTAAGCTTGCTTGCGGGGCTTACTTTTTCCCAACCCTCCTGCGTTGGGTTCTCGTTTCGAATAGAGCACTGCTCGCGCGAACCTTCCCACCCCCCCCGTCCCTCTCTTCCCCCTGCCTTCGCTCGTCGCTGCGTGCCAGCTGGGGGGCTGCAATCTGTGAAACTGTCGCCACTTTCGAGGCCTGCTGGGGGGCCCAGCACAGTGGATACCCACGGCGGATTCACATTT